AGCTAAACTTCATTGCTAGAAAGGCAGTCCAGGCACCTACAACAGCTTCCTTTGAAATACTTCTTGTTTCAAACACATGATGAGCTGGGATGTGGTGAGCTGCAGGGATCCAGCTGTAGTGACTTAAAACTGATACTAAAAAAAAGGAGACTTTCAAGGCAGAGAGACCTGTGGCTCAAGGGAACAACTTCCACACAAAGTTTTAGATGCAACGTCTACAAGACTGCACATAAATCTGAGCCAATTTAGCACTGGCACAGGAAAGAAATGTTGTTTAGTGGTAGGACAGAAATGACAGGAACTTCTGGGCAGAAGTCTCAGAAGAGAATTCCTGATGTCAAAAGAATATTAGATTATGCAGGGTTGATATGAAGCCACGGCAGACAAAAATAAAACCTAGGCATCCCTACACCTTATGAACTGGCTGAAGCAGAAAATCTGTCCGAGGAAGATAAATTAGTGGGACACAGGGGAACAGGGAAAGAACAAGGTAGCAAAGAGTCCAGATCAGAATAGAAAGGGTCAGTTAGCACTAAACCCGTGTAATTCAGTGTCCTCCAGTAGGACAAACCACGGGGTGCAGTTGTCAGTAGTTGTGTGGATACAAATCCCAAATCACATAATTTACAGCATGAATTTATACCGCTGGTTGCTTTCAGCTCAGGAAGGGACTGGATGCGCACAGCTGCCTTGGTGTCTTTGATCTGGGCCACCTAATTAAAAACTACCAACGAGGAGCTCCTGCTGGTAAGGGAGGCAAATATCACAGTAAAGCAGCAATTTGTTGGTATCTTTGAGGTTGCTCTCCTGAATGGCTGCAGCATGCAACAGCAGACTATAATTGAGTCGCTAAAATGCTTTCTTAATATAATTAACAGGTCAAGAGATTTCAGCAAAGAGACTACTTTTATGCTGTTGTTTGGCTTTCAGTACAACACAGATGGTAGAACCTCATCTTGTAAATCTTTTGTGGAGCCAAGCCACAGCTAGCACAGGAACAAATTTAGAGGAGAAGATAAATTAAATAGCTAATTAAAAGACACCCACATCTGGACTGCTGTAAAAAAGACACTGAGAAACTGGACAGAATCCAGCATAAAGTCACTAAGGCAGTGAGGAGCCTGGACCGCAGCAGAGACAGAGGAAGCTGGGTTTGTTCAGCTTGGAGAAAAGATGCTTAAAGAGGGATTTAACAGCTGTCTGAGAGTACCTAGAGGGGGACTGGGGGTTTTAGAGCCACATTCTTCTTTGTGGGACACAGCAAAAGGACAAGAGGCAACAGGCATAACTTGCGGCAAGGGAAATTCTGATTAGGTATCAGAAAAAATTGCACACGCTCTGCCCCCCAAAGGCAGTTCAGCAAGTGCCACAGGTCCCCAAAGAAGCTGGGGAATCTCCACTCTTGGAGATGTTCAGGACTCACCCGAACAAGGCCCTGAGCAACCTGATCTAGCTTTGGGGTTAGCTCTGCTGTGAGCAGGGGGTTGGACTAGGTGATCCAGAGATCAAAATGGTAGGCGAAGGAAGGGCAGAGGAAGAGGTTATGCGTGGAGCTTCTTTTCCCCCCCTGTAGTCCCTAAGCCTCTATTTGCAGCTACTTGCAGAGTCAACCCTCAAATCCATAACAAATTTAGCATCCTTTGGCAAGGAGTTCCACTGCTCAGCTACAGAAACACCCCCTCCTTTGGCTTGCTTATAACCTGCTCCCTGCCTCATTTTTATTAACATCTGGTTGTTGTAAAGAAAGAAAAATCAATGACTGATTCCTACTCACCCCCTCCAAGCTGCTCATGATACGGACCCATAACGTCCATACCCTTCCTCAGCTCTTTGCCAGGCTGAAGACTCCAGTCCTATTTAGGTGTTCTTCCTACAGAGCTTTTCTACACCTCTGATCGCCTTTGCTGTCCCTCTCTGAGATGTTTCCAACTCTGGTGTATTGTTTTGGAGATAAGGGTGAAGGGTGGCACAGAACTGCAGTGGTCAAGATGCTGGTGAGCCATGGACATATATGTGTGTATATATATATACGTATACAGGCACAGTGATGATTTCTGCTATTTGTTCACCACAACCAAGCATTAAGCTAACAATTGCATGATCACAGTCTTACTCCAGAGAGGTTACGATTAGTTCACAGTTCATTGTTTTATATGTAAATTTTGAATTATTTTTCTCCATGAACATTGTTTTACCTGTGCCTATATTTATATTTCATCTGCTTTTCTATTGCCCGTTCATTCACTATCATAAGGCCCTTCTGCAATTATTCACAGTCAGCTCCCACCCTATTATCCTGAATAACTTTCTACCATCATCCAATTTTCTCACCTCACCATACAAGCTCTATTTCCAGGTCATTTGGGAATATACTGAACAGCGTATATTTCAGGTTAGGCCCCTGTGATCTCATCACTGATGACTTCCCTTTGCTGTAAAAACTGGATGTTTATTCCCACCTTCCGTTTCCTATTTTCTACTAATTCTTTACCCAAGAAAAACCTCATCTTCTTTCTTATGTCATGACTTCAGCTTTATTTAAAGACTTTGATGAGAAAATCTTGTAAAATCATTTTTTAGAAATCCAAGGAAACTGTATCAGCCAGACCTGCCTTATCCACAAGCTTGCTAAGTCCCTCAAAAACCTCCAGTTTTACAAGACAGGATTTGCCTTTACAAAAGCAGATGCTGACTCTTTAATATCACACTTGTCGCTTTCTGTTATACTGTCTACCCTCTTGCCCAGATATCAACTTTATTGTTCTGTGCCTCCCTCGCATTTGGGGGATCTCATTTGGAGCCCTTTTTGAGAATCAAGCATTGCATTTGTTACTTCTAATTCTCAGCACTGAGATGACTTTAGACAGGAGGTTTTGCCGTTTTGCACAGAACTGCATCGTAGTTCAGTTGTTAGTGCAGAGTGAAGGCCACCTGGGCTTGGGGAATGGGCAGATGGACCATCTTCCTGCGGCTTGCCCAAGCCAGATGCTCTCTGTCAGGCCACGGGACCCCAGGACAGCGCTGGACCATCGTGGTTGCCCAGATCCTTACCATAGAGTAATGCTAGTGCGAATCCCATTTCCTTACACCACGCCACTGTAGTCCCTAGAGCAGAGCACCCGTTTGGACTGACTGTGAAGGTTTTATGTCCTGCTGTTCCACAAAGGGCTAGAAAAGACTGTAAGCAAAACAAGAAATAACCAGGATTTAAAAGGTCAGCCACCTGACCTCTCTCTGTACAAAAACATTCAGAGATGCTGCAGCTGCAGAGCTGGAAGAGTAACTGTAGCGGACTGGGCATTGCAATTGTTTGCTCTTTATCAAAGTGAGAAGGAGCAAAGGTAAAAGCAGTAACAATCTAACCCGCCGAGAAGGAGCAAAGGTAAAAGCAGTAACAATCTAACCCACCCTGAACGCCAGTCCTCCAGCTGAACGCCAGTCCTCCAGCTATCCTGTAGCTCCTATTAGAAGGTGGGTTTTTTCCCTTCTGTGCCCAATTCCTACTGCCAGTATTTTTATTTTTCTCACCAACAACTCTTGTTTTCTTCCCCTAACTAGCATTCACAGCACTCACCCACAGGATGGCATCAGGATCTTGACCCTCAGATCCCCACTGATGGGGGACTGACAGCAGCTGGTGGAGGAAGTACCACAGCCCTTAACCAGGGGGTCCTACTAAAGAAAATAAAACAGTATTGGAATTATCAAGACAGTGTCTTGAGACGGATTTGGGAGAGAGATCAAAGACCTTGACAGAGGAGGGGCGGACTCGCACCCTCCCGACAGGGCTGGATGCTCTTGGCGGGGGGTGCCACAGCTCTGGAGGAGCAACTGGCAGCGCTTGGGGGCTGCGACACCTCCCGTGACCCACCTGTGTCTGATCCACACCGGCACAATCCCACCTGTTCCTGGGGGGACTAAGAAGGTGGTAGCTCCAGGTCAGGCAAACCGCAGGCCTCAAGCAGAGGCCTTAATTTTCACCATTTGCAAAGCACTTCCTGGGCTGTAGTTAATGAATAATTAGAGGGGTGGGGGAAGGCCAAGGCCAAGCCGGGAGAGGTGGATGGAGACGGAAGGGACTGACTGCTCTTCCTGCCTCCAATCCACTAAGCTTACGCCCTCGCTGGCTACATTCCTGTCTGGTTCGTAACCGAAAGGCACAGAAGGCAAAACCAGACGCAGCGCTCTCACACCTGGCTCGCAGCTCCCTGCTCTCCCTGGCCTGGCTTCTTTATCCCCAGCCCTGCCACCCATCGCCCTCCCCGAAGACCTCAATGCTTCCAAGGGCAACAGGCACGTGGGCCAGGAGGCCACAAGCAGACGTATCCGATGCCCCTTCATTTGAATCAAGACAGAAACACAAAACGTCACACTGGAGTGAGGCTGCTCCGCTAGGTTTGTCTCTCTTCAGTCCCAGAAGACGCGAGATAGTTTTACATCATTTTTGTTGTTCTAATCCGGGCTGCAGCCAAATGGGTCAAGCCCAGCCCTCCCATACCGCGCCACTCCCTGCTGCATCCCTCTGCTGCTTTCTTCATTAGGGCTGACGTGTTTGATTGCGCATTCAGCTGGAAAACAATGCAGCCACAGGCACTGGTGGTAGGAGTGAGTTAGCAGCACCGACCCTGCTGGGGACAGGGGTCTCAGCGGCATTTATGGCCCTTGCTGAACAGTGCTAGATTATGTTTAGGGACACATTACCTAGTGTGTTTCAAATAGCACATTTGTAAATGCTTGCTCTTAGACAGGGCTGAAATGCTAGACACCTCTGAAATATTAAAAAAAATAAGTCACTCTGATATCAAGTCCTAGGGCTTCGCACCAAGGCTTGTATAAGCAATTACCTTTTTGCAGAACTTGGTACATACTGCACCCCTCAAAACACTAGCACAGGTTTCATCAAGAATGAGGTGGGCACTGCTGTAACTGCCTCTGCACCAGGGAGAAGCATCTGTGCCTGAGGAGCACCACTGAGCTCACGTTCATCCATAAAACAAGGGCATTTTCAAGGCATTTTTTATTCACGAGCAGACACAAGCACGCACAAAGCATCACGTTTCTTTCAGGTCAGCGTCTCCCTTGTTGAAGTTCTCCATTCCCGGGGCTGACAGCCCCCGCCAGAGCACCGTGACCCGGTGGGGCAGGAGAGGTCCACGGTCTCAGGAGGCTGCCACTCCACCGGTCCCGGCCCCGTGCGGCGGCAGCGTCATGGGCGGCAGGAACATGGCCTTGAGCTTGCCCGACATGCTGGCGATCTCCGGGTCCTGCGACTCGTAGGACTTGATCAGCCGAGCAAACTTCAGGACCCCTGCAAGAGAAGCGGTGGGAAGGAGGCACCCGCCCGCCGCCGCCCCATCGGCGGGCCCGGAGCTCCCCGCCCGAGGGGGAACAACGCACCTTCGCCGTCGTTGCTGAAGCCGTAGGCTTTGATCACGTCCTGCTGGATCTGGGTGGCCACGGGCAGGAGGAACTGCAGCATCTTGCCCATGTCGTTGCAGGCGTTGTCCCGAGCCTCCTCCATGCGCTGCGCGTTCTCGGGCGCCCCGAACGCCTTGATCACCTCCGCCAGCACCGCTGCGGGAGACGGGCACACGGCTGCCAGCCCGCCCGGGCGACAGAGCCGCCCGCCGCCCTCCCGCACTCACCCTTAGCC